AAAAAAAAAAATCACGAAAAAAGATGCAATTCTTGTACGAGTCATGTTTCTTTCGGTGCGATCATGAACGACAAACGTCTTCCAGTTGGTTGCAAATCCGAGCCTGAGACGGTGGCGCATGACAGCATCGACGAGGACTACGAGGACGATTTCCGAGGACGACGACTGAAGTAGCTTCAGGCCGAAACACCGTGAGTCGTTGGAGCTGAAAGGCGCAATGGCAAGCTCCTCCTGCCAGCACGCAAAGTCCACCACAAGTTTGCCACCAATGACCGTCGCGCATCAAAGCAGTGGAGGCCTGATGAACAGTGCTCGACTTGCGCCGGTATTTGATGACTGCAATGACGGCAAGTACCAGGACAGTGTTCATGAGATGGCGATACAGCTCGCCGTTGTGCTAGGCACCTGCAATGGTCGACGCCTCCTCGGCCGCAATATCCAATATCCTGTAACTTGGTCACTTCTGCCCTTCGGTTGTCTTTTCTCTCGCAAGTCAGACGCACGTTAGTGAGCATGCGGCTTGATTCAACGTGGTTGATGCCTATCGAATGATTTGTTCCTGATCATGTGCGGTGTGTGTGAAAGAGTATGAGCCGCGGAGGAATGTGGTGGCTTTGCCAATGGACCACACCCGCTGTAACCGCCCATCTTGGAAGAATGCGGATGCGATCCAGCCAAGTTAGCCGTTCGGGGCGGTGAAACTTAGGCAAAGCTATCTCCCCCCAGCCAGCCAACTCGAGTGGCCTCCGAGCTGTTTCCAGGGTACCTGCGTACATGGGACCCATGAATCGGTGATCGGTGATTAAGCAGGCAGCACGTGGCTTGAGCGTCGACACACCATCATGCCTGCATGACGGATGGAAACCATGGCTGACGGTGGGAAAGCCGGGTTACGAGCCATGTGTGCGGGTGCATATCACGTCTTTCTGTCTTTCAGGCACCAAGAGAGTCATGAAAGTATACATCTCCACCGCCTCCAGATTGCTCGTCAGAGAGCTGGTCTCTCAGACGCTTTCCAGTGATGCTCCGGGCCCCTTTTCGCGGATACCAAAGTCAAAGTCAAAGTCTAAGTCAAAGTCAAAGTCAATGTCAGAACATGAAGCATGAACCAACCAGGACACAGGATGAGACCTTGTTGGCAATCGCGAGTCGCAGGAGTGTATTGCGATCGGCGCCGGGTGCCAGCCGGGATGCGGTTTGGCAGCTGGCTTTGCGACACGTTGCGCTCGCTTGGTGACACCGATCATCTGCCTGAATGGCATCTGGCTGAGCAAATTCGAGCTCAAGCCTGAAGGATACCGCTGCACCCTCTTCCCAAAGCAAGGAGATCACACCAGCACAGCTCGGGTACCCCTGTCCCTGAGCCGCATGGATTGAGAGTACGTCGAGGCCATGCATTCGCCCTTTACAACATGCAGAGTCAAGTTGATCGAGCTTCTTCGGCCCGCTGCTTCTCCTTCCGTCACGCAACACATACACGGCAACACAACGTGCTCACGGCTTGCCCTGGTGGACAACATCCGAACGGGCTCACTGCAATCAGTTGAAACTCACGACGGCAGTCACGCGTGCATGCGAGCGGATTCGGGAACACATCTGAAGCTTGGCATTACGACGTTACAAAAGGTCTCACGGGAATCGTCCAGGGCGGCATGGCATCAGCCACGGGCCTCGGCGGGATCGAGAAGAATTTAGTAGGCGAGGAGCTTGGCCTCGAGCTCGACGGGGCTGACGAGGGTCTGGCCCTCGAAGACCTTGACGACGTGCTGGGCCTTGGCGGCGACATCCTCGCCAGTCATCTTGAACTTCTTGAAGAGCTCCTTGGCGGGGGCCGAGGCGCCGAAGGTGTTGATGCCGTGCTGGGCGTGCGAGTACTTGGCCCAGCCGAGGGTCGAGTAGGCCTCGACCGAGAGGATGGGCTTGCCCGAGGGCAGCACCGAGAGGCGGTAGTCGATGGGCTGGGCGTCAAAGACCGAGAAGCATGGGATCGAGACGACACGGCACTTGATGCCCTTGTCCGAAAGCTTGGCGACGGCCTCGTTGCAGAGCGCCACCTCGGAACCGGAGGCGACGAGGGTGATGTCGGCGTCCTTGTTCTCGACGAGGACGTAGCCACCCTTGGAGGTCTTCTCGATCGAGCTGCCCTCGAGCTGGGGCAGGTTCTGACGGGTGAGGGCGAGGACGGAGGGGGTGTCCTTGCTCTGGAGGGCGACGAGGTAGGCGCCCGAGACCTCGTTTCCGTCGGCGGGACGCCAGAACATGAGGTTGGGGATGGCGCGGAGCGCGATGGCGGTCTCGATGGGCTGGTGGGTGGGGCCGTCCTCGCCGAGGCCGATCGAGTCGTGGGTGGCGACCCAGATGACGCGGTGGTGCGAGAGCGCCGAGAGACGCACGGCGCCGATGGCGTACGAGACAAAGTTGAGGAAGGTGCCGGCGGTGGGGATGTGCATGCCGTAGGCGGCGAGACCGTTCATGATGGCGCCCATGGCGTGCTCACGGACACCGTATCGGATGTACTTGCCCGAGTAGTCGCCGAGCTGGGTGCTGGGGTGCTGGAAGTCGACGGCGTTGCCCCATCGGGTGAGGTTGGAGCCGGTCAAGTCGGCGGAGCCGCCGAGGAGCTCGGGGACGGCGTCGGCGAGCTTGCCGAGGACGGTCTCGGAGAGCTTGCGCGAGGCGATGGCGTCGTCGGCGGGCTTGTAGGTGGGGAGGGCGTTCTCCCAGCCCTGGGGGAGCTTGCCGGCGATGCGGCGGGCGATCTCGGCGTGCTCGTTGGGGTACTTGTCGCCGTAGGCCTTGAAGAGCTCGGTCCACTCCTTGTCGGCCTGGGCGCCGCGGTCGGCGATCTGCTTGTAGGCGGCGTAGACGTCTTCGGGGACGACGAAGCTCTGCTTGGGGTCCATGCCGAACTTGGCCTTGACGCCCTCGATGTCGTCGGCCTTGAGCGGGGCGCCGTGGGTGGCGGCGAGGCCCTGCTGCTTGGAGCCGAAGCCGATGGTGGTCTTGACGCGGATGATCGAGGGCTTGTCGGTGACCTTCTTGGCCTCGTCGATGGCCTTGTAGAGGCCCTCGAGGTCCTTGTCGCCGTCGAGGACGTGCGAGACGTGCCATCCGTAGGCGAGGAAGCGCTGCTCGACGTCTTCGGTGAAGGAGCAGGCGGTGTCGCCGTCGATGGAGATGTGGTTGTCGTCGTAGAGGGCGATGAGGTTGCCGAGCTTGAGGTGACCGGCGAGCGAGGCGGCCTCGGACGAGATGCCCTCCTGCAAGCAGCCGTCACCGGTGAACATGTAGGTGGAGTTGGTGAAGAGGGGGAAGCCGTCCTTGTTGAAGGTGGCGGCGAGGTTGGCCTGTGCGATGGCGAGACCGACCGAGTTGGCAAAGCCCTGTCCGAGGGGGCCGGTGGTGACCTCGATGCCCTCGGTGTGGCCGGCCTCGGGGTGACCGGGGGTCTTGGAGTCGATCTGACGGAAAGCCTTGAGCTGCTCCATGGGGAGGTCCTTGTAGCCGAGGAGGTGGTTGAGGATGTAGATGAGCGCACAAGCGTGACCTGTTGGGTGGGAAAAAGAGATGGAAGAAGAAGGCAATCAGCATGCTTGTTCGCCCACGCAATGGAGACTCTGTACGCGGGGTTTCGGGCTTGCGTACGTACCGTTGGAGAGGACGAATCGGTCACGGTTGACCCACTTGGGGTGAGCGGGGTTGACGTTCATGAATCTGCCGAGAGAGGGATTCGTTCAGGTCAGTTTGCAGTTCAAAAAAAAAGTACATGGCCAATTACCGCTCTCGCGAGGCAATCGGCATTGTATGGAAACTAGGCTCGTCGAGACTTACCGAGAGAAGAGGGTGTGGGCCATGGGAGCCATGCCCATGGGCGCACCGGGGTGACCAGAGTTGGACTTGGCGACGACATCGGCAGCCAGGCATCCTGCGCGCGACGAAAAGAGTAAAGCAAGCCAAAGTCAGCATATCGAAACGCAAGCAAGCTGCGCGCCGAGGATGGAAAGGAAGAGAGACTCACGGATGGTGGCGATGGCCTTTTCGTCGCTAGCGGCCTTGGAGAAAGTCATTGTGATGGGGGTATGTGGAAGGGGGAGGAGGGATGGGAACAAGAAGGGATGATGGTGAGAAGAAAGGGTGCGTGAGCGAGTTTGGGGGCACGGTTAAGAAGAGGATGGCGAGCGGCTGAGCTGGCGCGGGCGAGGCTCGGAATGATTGGCACGAGGCGATGGGAGCGGCCGCAATCGATCCATCATGGCGAGGCTGACGACTGAGCAGCAGCACCGAGCAGCAGCAGCAGCGCCGCCCGCGTGTTTGTGCGTCAGAAAAAGAGGTGGAGCTGTAGCAGCAACGCGCCTACCGATCGATCGGACATTCGTTCGCACGGCACAATTCCAGTCATTTTGTCTGCGCACGGCCTGGATGGCCTTCGATTGCGCTGCCGCCTCGCTGCCGCCTCGCTCCACCTCATCCTCGTTGCTTGCAGCCCGATTCCAACCTGTCTTCATCGCTGGAACAACTGAAGCAAGCGGCGGCTCATCCGATGCATAGCAGCCCCAGCAGCAGTAGCGGCGTCAAAAGCATTGCGCCAGTGTGACGGGTCGGGAGCGGCGTTGGCGTTGGGGCCACATTTCTTCGGGATATTTGTCGTCGTCGAGCTCAGCGCAGGAAGATCCCAAAAACTTGCCGAGAGCAACTGGCTCGCTGCTGGCTGGCTGGCTGGCTTGGCCTCAGCTGTACCGGACCGTCATCTGTGTGTGCCTCGACGATTTCCGCATTTCGGGTTTGAGTTTTGCCTGACTGGCAGTGGGTGTGTGAAATTGCCGAGCCTTGAATTTGGGTTCAAACTTCTCGCTCGATGCGCACGGCTCTCTTGTCCCTCTTTTCCAGACATGCGTACATCTACGCCAACCTCCACTGTCACAGCGTCAGAAAAACGAGAAGGTAAAGTGCGTAGACCAATAGTCCCCGGTCCGGTCGCACCGATGCTCATGCTCTTGAACAGCGAGATTTCCGATCGAGGCTTCCAAGATCCCCGTGCGGTTTGTGCATCCAACAACCGCAGCATGCGTGAGATCCATCATCTCTGTGATCGTTCGAAATGAGATTGCGGTGTTTGGACATTCAGCCTGTACCTGTTGCCAGGGTTTCGATGGCCAAGGGTTCGATGGGCAGGCGCAGGGCAGCAGCCAAGGTACGCGCTAGGCCAACCGATCCGAGCCGATCAGTTGCGCTGGAACGTGCAACGTCACCGTGCTTACCGCTGTCGTCAGTCTGCACGCGCGCCCGAAATTTCGCCCAAGCTCTCTCTCGCTCCCTCGACGGGAGCAACACTTGATCGTTGCTGCCGGCTTCGCTCACATGTCACAGGGTCATCTGGGCTATCCAATAGCCGCAGCCCAGTCGCTACGCTCATCGGATAGTTTTTCTTCCTCCCACACGTGGCTGATTGGCGGCAAACACCGACGTCCTTCTTGGCGCCGCAGCATCGCATCCCCCCTCGCAAACCCTGCGCTGTACCTTGCGAAGCCTTCGCAGAAGATTTATGCAGGGAGCCACGCTCATATGCCCGATTGCGTCCCACTGCGTGCATCACAGCATCGTGCAGGAGCATTTCTATCATTGCAGTGCCCAACTGGCTGTGTGTGCGCCGCAGCTCAACCTACCACGGGTTGTCCGCCCACGGATCGGGTTCTGTTCCCAGCGTCGCATCACCCGCTCGTCGCGGGGCGCGCTCGCTCGACGGCGACGGTCTGGCAGCCAGATCTGCCGTGCTGCTCCCCGATGCCGTGCCCAACGCGCTGCTAAAGTCGAATCCTCGGCCCACCGCAGCGCTCGGCGGCGTCAAGGCATCCAACGACCTCTCACCGGGCGTCAGCGCTTCGCCAAAGCCCAGGCTCGAGCTCGTCGGAAGTGAGTGCGTGGCACTCTTGGTGCCCATCGACATGTCGTACGACGTGTCCGGCCTCGCCAGCCCCCACTCTTCGCCACGCACCCATGCATCCTCCCCCATCGCCGACGTGCGCCCTGAGAATGCCGGCGCATCCCCCCCGCTCTTGAAGCGCGTCTCCAGATCCTGCGCTGCCGAAGAAGACAGGCCGTACTTGCCTGTCACGTTGGACCCTGCCGATTCGGCCTGAACAGGGCTCGATGCCAGCTGGATGTCGTCGTCGTACGACGCAAATGTGAGCGACACGCCTCCATTCGAAGGCGCAGCCGCCGCTTCGGACCGCGCACCACCCTCGCTATTCCCTGACGCCAAAGCCGCAGCGCCCGAGTGCTCTGCCGAACTGCTGCCCTTGGAAGCCTGCGTTGCATTCGCAAGTGGTAGCGGCGGCAGCGAGCTCTCGAGCTCCTTGACTTCGATGCCAGACTCGCGCAGCTCGCGCAGGATCGCCTCCGTGTCAAAGTGCGCACTCAGCGAGCTCGGACGATCCGCCTCCGGTGTCGCGGCGCGCTCAGCCTCGTTGTGCGACGATCGCACCGCCTCGACGCGCGCAATCGACTGCTTGACAATCTGCTCCTGCGTCTGCTTGGCTTCCGTCACCGCCTTGGCCGCTTCGGCTGCTGGCGGCGTCGACTCCATCCGTGGCGGCAGATCGTCGTCGTCGTCGTCGTACTCGTCGTATTCCGCATGCCCAGCTGTGGCGGTGGCACCTGTAGCAGATCCTGCCGCCGACTGCGAGCGCACAGGCGTCGTGCTCTGGCTGCCCGCCTGGCTCGAATCCTTGCGCCTGAAGATTCTGCCGAATCCTCCGGTCTTGGTCGTCACCGTCTTGAGCTCCACCTTCTCGGCCGCTGCTTCCTGCACCACCTGCCGTTCGGGAATCGCGTTGAGATCCTCTGGCTCGTCAAAGTAGTCGGCCGTGGTGCGGAAGCCGAGCTCGCTCAGAACCAGCGGCATGAGCGGCCGATAGCCCAGGTGGCCGGGCACCACATGCGTGACATCGACGTTCTCAATGTCCTGCACGCGCTCCACCGGATGGAGACCTGCGATGCTGCGCAGACCGCCAGACGCCGCACGGTGCAGATAGCCCAAGATCCAGTCGGTGCGCGAAAACGCGCTGACAAATCGGCCGGACACGATGCTCCTTGCCTCCTTCCACGTCTCGTCCTTGGCCGTCACGGGTGCACCCATGATGTACACGTTCTGCACGATCCCGTACGCCTTCATCCGGCTCAGCTCCACCAGCGCGTAGAAGATGACTCGCGCACCCAGACTGTACCCGACCAGCGTGATGGGGCGCACACCGAGTTGACGTTTCGAAAGCGTGTCTGCGAGGATAAGACCGGCCGCTTGAGCACGATCGAGCGCATTGGACCACGGATTGTCGATCAAATACCCGAGCTTGGTGAGCCAGAGAGGCCAGGCGAGCGCAGTAAACATGGCACTGGCGCCGGCCACCGTCAACGCAAGCGCCTGCTGAACGCCCTGAACGATGGTCTCGTTCCATAGTAAGCCGAGAGCATTGCCCATCTCCTGCATCATGTCCGGCTCCCAAAACACACTGAACAAATCGCCCATGACGCTGTCGATGACGCTGAACGGCAGCCGCACGTCGTCCAGCGGGCCGCTCATGAAGCCGGGCACGGTGATGATCGCGTTGACGCGCTTGTTGTTGTGGATCGGCTTGAACTCGAACGTCTTGACGCTTCGTGTGCGGCGGCTCATGCCGCGGCCGGCGAGGCTCATGCCACCCACGGTTCCGGTGGATGTGATGAGAGCAGCTCCACCCACGCCGCCCAAGAATCCGCTCGTGCCGCTGATGCCGACGGCTCCGAGCGCCGCACCCATACCCGCACCGATGACGGGAGCAAGCAGGCCGGCCGAGAGGCCGATGACGAGGCCACCACCGACGGTGGCGAGGCCCATCATGACCATGCGCTTCTTGCGAGCCATGAGCATGCGCTGGGTGACGGCCGAGGGATCGCTGAGGGTTTCAACGCCTTCCTCGATCTCGAGCGCATCGGTGATGCGCTTCTCGAACTGCGTCACGTCCATCCAGGTGAGGCCGAGCTCGGAGGCGACGCGCTCGAGCAGCACACGCGAGCGCGCATCGTAGACGCTGTCGGCGGTGAGCACGAGGAAAAGGTCGCAGAGTACGGTCCAGCGCAGATCGAGGGTGATGGTGGCATCGGCGCTGCTGATGCTGGTGGTGACACCATCCAGCGCACCTGGCGGTGGCTGCACGGCTTGCGGCTCTTTGGTGAGGCCGAGCGTGGTGGTGACTGAGCCAGGCCCGACTTCGGCATCTGTCGGCGCTACTGTGGCTTCGGTCGCATCGACGGCATTCGCGAGCTGCGAGGCGGTGTTTGGATCGGCAACGACGGTGGTGGTAGCAGAGGCCATCGATGTAGGTCGGGAGGTCGCAGTTGCAGCTGTAGACGTATTGTCTGATTGCGATCCTGACCTTGCGTGGTGTTTTGCGACTTGTCGGAGTGCCTCATTTGCTGAGGTGATATCGGCGCCGTCGTCTGCGTCAGCCGGAGGTGTATCTTGCTGCATGCCGATGTCGACTTCGTCATCGTCTTGTGCGGCGTTGCGTTTGGAGCGCGCTTTGAACGGACCGCTTTGGTCGGACTGGGATCCGTCTCCTGTAACAGCTTCGGTCTTCAGTCTCGGCTTCTCCTGCAGAGCAGAGCCAATGTCGCCGTCGTCTGCGCCGTCGAAGGCTTCGTCGAGACCATCCTGATCGCTGTGTGTAGTAGAGGGCTCGGCAGGCGGGCTTGAAGATGGCTGCGCGTTCGAGGTCTGATCGGCGGGAGTGGATTGCGAAGACGCCTTTTGTTGTTCGGGTTGACGCTGTTGCTGCGCCTCGAGCTCCTGCTCCTCCTGCAGCTCTCTGAGAGCTTCTGGGTCGAAGTCGGGATTGTCGATGGTTTGGGTCGTGATGAGGGATGGAGCGAGGTCGGTGGCGAGGACGCCGTGTTCTGCCAAGGATTCGATCATGCGCTGCTCTGAGCTCTCGATGTCCATGTGCTGGTATAGGCGGGCCACGACCTTGACTTTCCAGGCTTCGATGCTCTGCTTTGCCGCGTCGAGGTTCTTGCCCGGAACTCTTCGGAGCTGGCGGACCATTTCGGAAGCTATCAAGCTGCAGAGGCCTACGTATGCGATCTTCTGACCTTCCGAGAGGAGCTGCTTGGTGGTCTTCATCTGGTTGAGGGGGGTGGCGGAGGTGTTGTCTCCGTATGGATCGTGACGGCTGCCGTCCTGGAAGAGGTACTCTGTGGCGGCATGGAGCTGTTCTGCTTCTTCATCTTCGTCCAGACGGAGCTGGGTATAGCCTTTCTCGCCATCGCTGTCGTCGTCGTCGTCGGCGTTATCTTTGCTCGCCGGTTTGGAGCGCCAATCATAGCCCCTGGCGTCGTCGATGTCGAGATGCTTTCCTGTGGCGTTGGTGGCGGTGTTGTGCGAGCGTGCAGATGTGGAGCTGATGGCCGACTTGCCAGGGTCGGTGAGGTACTGCGACTTTGCGTTGGAACGCTTGTGAAGCTGGGCGCTGGCGGTGCGGTGGGGCTGGCTGCGTGCAGAGGAGCGAGGCGGGAGCGAGCGAAACCTGCGCGGGTCGTCTGGGTCTGAATCATCTTCCTCTTCGTCGCCGTAGGGCAGGTCGTATGGATTGGAGTAGGCCTGGATGGGTATGGAGGCCCCTTTCTCCTCGGCGGACTCTACCGGCATGGACTGCCATTCGTCGTCGTCGTCGGCCGCCATGGCTGCGGACTTGTGGGACGAGCTCATGTGCGTCAGTGATGTGAAGTTGCAGCCTGCGAGACTAGACCAGGGAGGCGGAGGAGTGCATGCAGGCTGCGCCGATTTGGTTGCACTCGACGAAGGACTCGCCGAGGTCAGCGCCGTTCGAGGGTATGTGGAGGTGAACGGCAGCGGTGTGACCGGCGCTGTGGACACCGGGAATGGATGCAATGGACGCTCGAGGGCAAGGACAATGTGCAGCGTGCCCTCAAGACAGGATCACGGCGGACCGGTGTGAGGAGGACGATCGAGGATGAATGTTGGAGAAAGAGGTGGGGGAAAAGAGGGCAGCGACTTCGGACCATCGCACCCTGACACGGTCACACCGTGGATCGGCGGCATCACGGCAGCGTGGAATCCCACGGCGCTTCGAGCGCTTCCACACTCCACACTCACTCGCACTTGCCAGGCGTTGCGATTTTCTGAAACGTGTCATCCGAGCGCGATCTTACACTTTGGGCTTTGGGCTTTCGCTTCCTCCCAGCTTTCCACGCTCCACTCGTGTGACCACCGCTGTTACGTACCGGTCAAGGCTTGCCTTTGTCCATCACGGGGGATGCCGATCAGACCACACAGCGTTCCCTTGGAGATGCAGTTCGTTCATATTTTGCATGCTGGAATACTGTACTGTACAAGCGGGAGAGGCGTGGCTCGATGTGCAGCCTCGGATGGTTGGGCCAGACCAAATGGCTAGCTGGCTGCCTTGGCCGTCTGCTGCTTCCTCTTTGCCTCCTTGGCCTTCTCCTTGCGCAGCGCGAGCCCCTTGTTGAGTGCACGTTGACGCTTGCGACGACCTGCGCCTCGCTTGCTGCCAATCTTGTTGGTGATGACCTTTTCCTTTCCGTCGACCGTCTCGACGAGCTTCTTGCGGCTCTGCTCTCGTGCCTTTTCGATCTTGCGTTCCTTGGCCTTGTCGCGCTTCCTGAGGCCGGCAGACAGGTGTGTCCTCAGTAGTGGAAGGTATGCGCCCTGGAACGTGGCTAGCTTGGACGCAGGCACGAGCGTGCTGATCTTGACCTTGCCGCTGCCCGAGGAACCGTCGGTGGCGCGGAAGAGAATGGCGTCCTTCAAGCTGGAGGAGGAAGACGACGGCGTCATGTCAACATCGTCATCCTGAGCTGCAGAGGCGGGTGCCTTCTTCGAGGTGATGTAGACCGAGTGCTTGGAGGTGCTCTGCTCAAACAGCTTGGCGAGCTGCTCGAGGAACTGTGGGGCGCGATAGCAACGATAGAGATGCCGGTGAGCAAAGTGTGCTTGTCGCTGCCGCTTCATGGGTACTGCTTTGCCGCATCGTGTCTGGTTGCAACTTACCTGCTCGTTGGTCAGCGTCATGCTTGCTGTGAGAATGAGCGTGGGGAGAGCAAGGTCGGATGGTCACTTTTGAGCTGCGACCGATTCCAGCTCTCCGTCTCTCTCGTGGCAGCGCGCGTCTCTCGAGCCAACAGTTGCAAATCGGAAAATGGCGTTCATCGGGTTGAACCAGATCGGACGATGCGACTCGAGCCGTCCTCCACGCTGCTGGGCTGGCTGCACTGCGACCCTTCGAGGCTGAGCCGAATCGATTTGGAAGAAGTGGAATGACGCGCTGCTGCTCAGCCAGACAGTGAGCACAAAGCTCAGTCAGTCGAGCCTGCCGAGTCGATCCCATCGTCTTGACACCTAGCCACCCAGGCTTATCCCACATCCTTCACACCCGTACTTTAGCAGCAGCTATAGGCAAGCTCGCATCTGGTCCGCTGCCCAACATACTCGGCTCAAGCATTCAAGCTCGTCCGATCAAAACGGCACAAAGGCTGGCAACGAGCTGCGCTATCCTGCGTCCGCCCATCACCACCCATTGGCGACGCACCATCATGTCGCACAGCGAGGATCAAGAGCTGGCTCCACTCAACGGCTCTCGCCCCGCCAAGCATCCTGCGCTTTCACGACCGCTCTATGCCTTCGATCTGCCTCCAGCCCTGCACAACTCCCTCAAGCTTCGCTCGCACATCGAAGATGCCGAAGCAGCGCACATCCTCTCTGCCAGCGCCACCGCACCAGCCTCCTCCACAGCCACGCAAACGTCCGCCGCCGATCAAGGCGCACAAATAAGAGAGCCTTCGCATCTCCGGGTGCCGCCCTGCTCACTCTGTCCCGGCTGTGCGCCCTTTCCATCCGTCACTGCACAGCGCGCACACTTCCGCTCCGACTGGCACAGATACAATGTACAGCTCAACGTGCAGAATGGATCCTTGCTCGTCTCTCAACAGGCTTTTGAAAAGCTCTCGGAAGAAGTCGAGAGTGCCAGCGAGCTAGAGTCGGACGAAGACGCCCAGCAGTCACGCTCCACGGCCGTCAAGACCGACCTCGTCACCAAGATCCTCGCACGCACCTCGCTTCAGTCTGCCAAAAAGTCTGCACCACAAGCGGACCAGGCCGATCAGGACGACGAGGACGCGGCTGATACGCTCCAGGCCCTCCAACTGCGTGCTCCTTTGCTGTGGTTCGTCTCCAAGGAGTCGGCTCCCGACGCTGCTCAGCTTCCGCAGACACAGCTCGGCTTCCACCGCAACGTCTTCCCGGATCCGGGAACCTCCTCCGCTCCCAAGCTCGCTCAGCCCGACTCGATCGCCGAATGGTACGCCGCATGTATCGCGTCCATGCAGACCGGCCGCATCACCCGCCAGGGCTCCAAGCAATCGGCGTGGAAGGGCAAGCGCATCAAGTCCAAGGAGGTACAGGAAGCCGCTAGGTCCGTCAAGATGACTGTCCTGGATGGTGAGGGTTTCATCTCTGGTCTTTCCACCGCCATCAACTCCGATGCCGTTGGCAGTAGCGACGAGTACGACGAGTCCGACTCTGGCACCGATGACGCCGAGTCTTCCTCGGACGAGACCGTCGCCACTTCCACCACGATCAGCCGCAACCCCGACCCACCTCTACGCATGTGGACCGTGCTGCTGCTTGGGGGCGGCCATTTCGCCGCCTCGGTGATCGCGCTCAATCCGCACGTGACAACCTACAAGAGCCGGCCGCGCGATGGTTCGGGCGCACCTCGCGAAGACCGCTCGCTCATCCTGCTCGCGCACAAGGCCTTCCACCGATACACGACGCGACGAAAGCAGGGAGGCGGACAAGCCGCGCAGGACGCTACGGGCCGCTTCGCCAAATCGGCGGGTGCACAGCTGCGCCGTTACAACGAGGCTGCGCTCGGCGATGACGTGCGCGGACTGCTCGATTCGCCCGGCTGGCGCGAGCTCATCGGACGCAGCGACAAGATCTGGATCCGCGCAGGTGCGCGCGCGGCGAGGGGACTGCTGTGGTCGTGGGAAGGCGCCAAAGCGAGCAGGGGTAGCCCGCTCGAGGCTGCGCGCAACGATGGCCGGCTAGGCTCGCTGCCGTTCCCCACTCGCCGTCCGACGATCGGCGAGACGGTGCGCTGCTTCCTCGAGCTGGCCAAGGTCAAGGTTGAGTACAAGAGCGACGAGGAGCTCGCGGCCGAGGAGCAGGAAGCACTCGAGGCCATCCAGCAGCGCTCGCGCAAGGAGGCCGACGCAAGGCGGCGCGAGGAGAAGGCGCAAGAGCGTGCGATCGCTCAGGAGAAGAGTCGAGCCGACAAGAAGCCGGCGCGGCTTACGGAGGAAGAACAGGCGGAACGCAACCGATGGACGCGGCTCGTAGAGATGGTGCGCAAGAACCGCACCGAGGCACTCGTCACTTTCCTCAGCAAGAACGCCGACGAGATGTTGGCGGGGAAGATTGATGCCAAGCTGCCGGACTGGCTGATGGAGCAGCAGGTGAACGACGCCGGTGCCTCGGCGCCTGCTTCTCGGCTGGTTCCGTCGACGCTGCTGCAGCTCGCTGCCGAGGCTGGAAGCGAGGGCGTGACGCGGTTTTTGCTGGAAGACCAGCGAGCCGATCCCACCATGGCTCCCGAGCGGCTGGGTGAGCTTCGCGGACGTTTCGCAGCCGACGGTAGCACACCCGCGGCGGGAGGGGAGGAGATGGCGCACCGCGCGGCATACGATTTGTGCAGCACCAAGGAGGTGCGCAACGTCTTCCGGCGCATGATGGCGGAGCACGCTGATTGGCACGACTGGGCGGGCATGGGGTCGGGCGGAGCGCGCGTGCCGAGTGCGCTGACCGACGAGATGCAGGAGCACCAAACGGCCAAGCAGAAGGACCGTCGTGCGGCGATGCGCGAAAAGGCGCGCGAGAGGGCGAGCAAGGCGGCCGACAAGGCAGCCGCCGCACCCGAGCCGCCCGCCGAGGAGGTCTTCGCGGAGACGCCGCCGGCGACGTCGCATCAGACGACGAATCGATTGGGCGGCAAGGGAGCGGCGCCGAGGGCACTGCTGCAGCAGAGGGACGAGCAGCAGGGACTGACGCCCGAGATGCGTGCGCGCATCGAGCGGGAGAAACGTGCGCGTGCCGCAGAGGAAAGGATGAAGGCGCTCATGAACAAGTGACGCGCGCCTGATCCATCCAATGCCGAGGTGTTTGAAGCAATGTCTGCAAAGTGCTTGCAACTACTACTGCGAATGATGAGGATACAAGTACAAATGGTGTGTGTGGGGGAGGGGTGCTAGCGAACAAAGTTCATCGAGTAGCCGCCTCCTGGCTGCTGTGTGAACTTGAAGTTGTTTGTGCTGAGACCAAAGTTGCCGAGGATGGAGTCGCCCAGGCCCTTGAGCTTTGAGATCATCTCGTCCTTCTCCCTCTCTGCCGCCTGCTTGGCTTTGGGTTCTAGCCTTGCGATTGCGGCTTGCACGTCCGGTCTTGTGGCGCTGGGGAGGTCAGGGCAGGAGAGGAGGGTTTGATGATCTTCGAGGGCGGCCGAGAGACCGGACCATGTGGCTATCTCTTCGTTCGCCTGTGCGCGGCGGTAGAGTGCCTTGACGTAGCGCGGTTGGTCGAGCAGCGACTCGGTGGCGGCTTTGACCGCATCGCGCGGCTGCGAGAGTCGCAGGTGCGTCGCAGCAATGTTGGCGTAGATCACCGATCGGAACTGCCGGATCTGCTGCATCTCTTCCGATTCGCCGGCTTCTTCTGATTCTTGCGACTCTTGCGTCGCGGTCTCGGGTGATGTTTCGCCTATTGGAGCCTCCTCTGCTTCTCCTTGGCCATCGTCTTGTTCCTCTTCTGAGGATTCTTGCTTTGGTTTTGGGCGTGGCGGCAGCAGTGCTAGAATATCGAGGTAGCCGCTGAGCGCCGCATCGTAATCCTTGGCAGCGAAGTGGCGGTTCGCCTGTGCCTTGAGCTCGTGAATCTCTTCCGAGATGTATGCCTCTTGTATGACGGCCATATTGTTGTTGATGTGGTTGTAGTGTCGGTGGGGGAAGAGGATGCACAGCAACGGATTGGGTGGAGCTGTGCGCGCCCGAATTCCGAGAGCTGAGCGCTCAGAGGGTGGAGGTCGAAACGCCGATTTTGGGCGATTCGGGGCGGGAAGCGATTCGCGCGGGCCAAGAAAGGCGAGCAAACAAGGTTCAACACGCACCGCACACACGTGTCAATCTTTGCCAATCTTTGCCATTCTCGCCCATCTTCCATGACGATGTCTTCACTCGAACCTCTCTCGCACCAGGTGGCTGGCCATCCCGATGGTGTCCAAAGCCTAGAGGGCGGTCGGCTCGTAGTCAAAGCGTGCCTGCCGCGCGAGCTGCGCTTCTACCAGCAGGTGCAGCAAGCGGTGCAGACCTCGCAGACACGCCAGACCGAGCTTCTGTCTCGATTATTGCAGTTCATGCCACGTTGCTATGGAAGCTGGCAGGACTACGCCGGCTCCACCGCAACAACGGCCGACTCGGAGCCAGAGCCACGGATTGTGCTGGAGAACCTAACGTTCGGATACACGCGGCCGAATGTGTGCGACCTGAAGCTGGGCACGCAGCTGTGGGACGAAGAGGCGAGCGACGAGAAGCGCGCGAGGATGGACAAGGCGGCTGCGAGCACTACGAGCGGCTCGCATGGTGTGCGATTGACCGGGTGGCAGACGTACGATTCCGAGACGCGCCAGTTCCACCGCGTGCCCAAGACGTTTGGCAAGACCATCGGCGCCCAACACCTCGAGCTGGGCATGCGTATGCTGTTAGCGTGCCCCGAACCGGGCGATGCTCAGAGCGCCGACTCGGTGCTGGCAGGAACCAGTCTCGACTCGCGCCTTCCGCAGCTTCCCGCCGAGATTGTGGAGCAGCTGCTGCGCCAAGACGTGCTCAAACACCTCGAGGAGCTGCGCGACATCTTTGGCGAGCTCGAGGTGCGCATGCGCGGAGCATCCCTGCTGCTCGTCAGCGAGGGCGATGTGGAGCAAGCTCAGCCGAAGGCCGAGGTGAGACTGATCGACTTTGCCCATGCGACGTTGGTGCCTGGCGAGGGACCCGACCAAGGCGTGCTGCTGGGCATCGAGACGGTGCTACATCTCGTCAAGAAGCAGCTAGACAGGCTTCAGAGCCGCAAACAGGACACTACTGTCTAGAAAGGAATTTCAGATTGGAGCCCACAGGATATGATCCAGGAATAGAAGTATTTCATCAGTCGAGCGGGCGCATCGTAAATAAATATGCTGATTTTGTCGGTGGTGTTGGTTTGAGCGCCAAAGGCACCGGCCGGCCAAGTGGAGGAAAAAGCAAACCAAATGCGAAATGCAGGTCAGATGCGGTCGACTGCAGCCAGGCAGCCCCTGTCGATCTGTGCTGCCAAGTGCTGCGCTGTTTGGGCCGTCAGTTTGGGCCAAACCAAACAGGAGAGAGCAACAGCCGCTAAATTGCATGTGTTGGTCCTTCCTGGACCCCCACCACCACCTACCTAGGAGTACAAGATGCGCTCGTCTTGTCGAAACCGCACTACCGTCTAAGCCTCCAGCGTCCACACTGCCAATGCGCAATGGCTCCTCCGCAACTACAGAGACCAAATCCGGTCCACGCCTCTGAGCCACCACAACAGACGCCGAACAACACTGCCACCACCGCAGCATCCACCGTCCAATTCCCTCCGCCAAAGCAACGCTGCACAAAGTGCCAGCCCATCCTCCAACACCGCCCTCACTCTTCCGCTAGCGTACCTGCAAATCACACGGCAGATTCTTCCTCGCTCGTCACCCCGGCCTGCCATGCTACCGTACGCCACTACATAGGGCCCCTTCCCGTGCCGGCATCAGCAGCCAGGGCCATCGCAAGGGCCATCGTCGAGGACACCTCGTTCCATGCGCCCGATGTCGACCACGAGCAGCCCGAACCAAACAACGTCTCGGCCACCGACTTTGCCAACGCTCCCCATCCACAACCTGCTCAACATTCGCACACATTCAGTGATCCCTTCCAAGCTCCCGCTCAAGCCCCACAACACAGCGACCAGCAAGGGCAACAGCGTCCCGCAGCCCCATCGCCGCCCACCTCGCCCTCGTCACGCAACAAGACGCCCACACCCCTTCCATCCACCCGACCACGCGTCGTTGCCAGGGATCCTTCGTCCGCTTCCGTCCTCTCCAACACCTCGTTCGTCAGCGCAAAGTCGCTCCCACGCTCCGCACTCAGCGACTCGGAAGCTGCGGCGCGGCGTCCCCTCTCCGCCTCGGATGGACAGGTGCCTTCCTCGCACGATGCTCCTGCCTCTTCATCTCGGCCCGTCAGCCCGTCCAGGAGAAGGCTCGGACTGCTCACACGCAAGAGCAATCAGTCCTTCCCGAGCTTCGGCAACACCTCGCTCCCACCACCCGCTTCCATCCTCAAGCCATCCACTCCCAATGGCGCGGCTCTACCACGCCTCAACAGTGACTCCACGGACGAATCCATCTCCAGGCACATGCAAAACGTCCGCAGCGCCGAAAACTTGCGAGTCGCAGCGCTTCGCCAGCAGCGCAGGATAGGCTCGGAAGGCTCCAAATCAACCGCATCCACCATCGCACCATCACCCAACAACCCTCCCCTCGCCCTGCCCATCCTCGACCTGCCGCTGGACCAGATCGAAGAGGCCATCACTCCCCAGCTACCGGCACAAGCCAGCTTCGATCCGCCCTCTCCGCGCCCCGAGGATTCCGCATCGCCCCCACAGTTCACATCATATGACACAGAGCGACGCGCTTTCAACACCAGCAACGACACCACCATCATCCGCAAGAGCGACGAGATCGCCAACCCTCCTGCCGCCAGTGCGCTGCGAAATCAGCCCTCTTTCTCCAGCGGCTCCGAGGCTCATCCGGCATCGGACCCTGCTCACACGCCAGCAAAGCTCCAACCGGACGATCTCCTCCATCCGACCTGGGAGCAATCCAACCTCGCGCCCAACCGCCAAGCTGGTGGTCATATCGAAGCAGGCACCGCCTTGTCTTTCTCATCCCACGAC